ACAAGATAGCCAAGCTCGAGACACTTGAAAATGGTCAAAACCAGCAGAGAAATACGATTTGTATATCTTAATTACCGGTACTGTATGTAGCTACTCTTTAGAAAATTTTGAAATTGAAAAATTATCACTGGACGTTAAAAATATCTTCATCTGATCTCTCGCTAGTTCTTCACCGAGTATTTTATCAATGTACTTCAATGTACTGTAGCTCAAACTCATGAAAAATTGTATCCTTAAAACCTGTATAATCCACATTTTTCAAATTTTTAAATCAACACTGTACGTCCAAAACAGAACAGTACACAAAATCTGACGAAGCGATAAATACAGTATCATTAGAAACACCACACCACACCAGTAACACCATTTTTCTTCATCTGATGACACACACACAATGTGAGAAACGTCTGGCATTACGCTTCCGTCAAGAATGTGTGAGGAAGTTGGGAATACGGGGTCTGTGATTCCTTTGTTTCGAGGGGAAGTGAATTCGTACTATGATCCGACTGCGAAAGCTGTTAAAATCAATGGCTTCTGACGGGACTGATTTATTCTAATGGTCGCTGTGATCTATTGTATAGTCAAAATAGTTCTCGTGACGTCAAGCAAACCCAAGTTCTTGGATTCGTAATCTACAGTAGTACATTTGTCAGATTAAGGATAATGAAAAATATGAATGTTAATTGAATTATGATATACGGTACCGGTCAAAAAGATATACAATAACGTGATTTCAGTAGATTTTGACCATTTTCAACAGTCTGGATCTCGGCTGTCAAGTGTCCAACAACTTTGAGAACACTAGACTCTTAAAACATACTCCAATACTTCCAAAATGATCGGACACAATGTAAGGCCACATTATTACTTTTGAGTCATTGAGACACTTAAAAATTGACTGTAATTCAAAATTTGAAATTCTTTCAGAAACGCAAGGTGCAAAGATTGATACGGAATCAGCTCAAAAATTTATCTATCACAAATCATGACCTGGTTCAATGACATCAAGATTTTTTTCTTGATTTTCTATGAAAGAAATCTCCTCAACTTCTATTTGACCAAGTTTTATTTTTATCTACGAAACAACAGTTCAATTATATTGTACAACTACACTAGCTGTTCCGAATGAACCCCACACGCTGTCAACACGTTGCGACCACCGGTACTCTCGGTCCAAACTGTTCAATGATTCACCGCCGCTCTTCTTTTCTTTCTCTTCCCATTCACTTTCTTATTTTGTTGCCCCGATAGAAAAAAAAAGTATACAACAATCGAGTGCACGTTGATCGGGGAGACACGTGAGGGGTGGAATTCACGTGCAAATGATTTTTTGGCACCTCCTGTTTGCACTTTTTGGCAAAATGAAGCGCGACGTCTTTGAAGAAGTGCTGACTTTTGAGAAGAAAAAGAGGGATGTCTGAGTGTGCTTTGTTTTTGTGGTGTGGTGTGGTAGTAGTGGTGCTTACACTCAAAGGATTCTGATGCAATTTTGATGGGTATTTCCCCCATCTTCAAAGACGACTGGGGTATGAAGGTCAGGGTACATGACGACCTCTCAAGAAAAACGTAGGCGGAATACGTGCATGTAGTCAAGGGGTCAGTATTTTTGGGTATAATTCTAATATGGAGCTTGGAGACTACATACAGTGAGAATGACATGAGTGTCTTGAAACTAACAACTTGATTAGGAAGCTGGAACTGGTGTAGTCTACTTGGCTCAACTACGTGGTTTAGAAAACTTTTGACTTTAAAAAATTGAGATCGAAAAATTTGAGGGAACAATTTTTAACTCTTTATTTGGTTGAAAATTCTTGAATACAAGAAACAGAAACTTAAGCAGAATATATACGGTACCCACAAATCGTCAACTTTGAGCTCAACTTTCTCATTTTCTGTAAAAGATATCAAAAAGCGGTCAACTGTCAAAATACTACTGATATTATGATACACATTATGACAGTTAACCACTTTTTGACAAATTTCACAGGAAATGAGATAATTGCGTTCAAGGCTGACAGTTTGGGTTGAGCTTCTATTAGAAGAAATACGGTAACCTGAAAATCTATCCGTACAATTCAGTGCAAATAAGTTTTTCTTTAAATTTTTGCACTGAACAGCTGTCAACTACATTTGACAACTTTCAGAGAATTCTTAAAGTGACCTACACTACCCGTCAATAAGATATATGAAGTTCGATTGATTTCGACCATGTTCAGCAGCCTGGAGTTCGACCGTCAACATTCCGATCACTTTGAAAACTCTGAAGGGTCTAAAACAGACCTAGCATGAAACTTTAAGTTCACATATTTTTTTAAATCCCTAGTTTTTCAACTATTTACTGATTCATGAAAGACGCCAGTTTTTACGTTCTCAGTACATAAACGGGACAAAAAGAGGTGTCTTTCAGCAATCGGGAAACAGCTTAATAACCATGAATATTCGAAAAATTCTGTTACTGCGGAGATTTTAGTCTAGGTCTGTGCTACACCTGTAAAAGTTTTCAAACTGATCCGACATCTGACAGCCGAGCTCCGGACTGCTGGAAATAGTAAAAATGGGCGACAATCAACTGAAACATTTCTTTTGTACATCTTTTTGACCGGTATGTATAAACCAATCCCGTTAAAAAATACAATTCAGTGAAAATGAGCTCTTTTAGATTCGTCATATAGAAAAACTATCAGTTAAGGTAGTCCAGTTGCTAACTTTTAGTCTTACGGGAACCGGTATTAGTTATTACAAAGTGTAGGATGTTTTGCGAAATTAATCATGATAACTTTAAGAAGATGAAATTAATAATTTTCAAAGTTTTACGAATTTTGAGGTTAAAAAACTCTCAATTAATTGACTAAAACTAAACCTTCACCACAAATTACAGGCCACCTGCTTTACCTTACTCATCAAACTGAACCACATCGGGTACAAAAAATGTTGTCATAGGTCTTCGAAACAACGAATAAAGTTTTGACCCCGCTTATCATGAAGACTTCTAGACATAATGCTCTATTTTTAGAAACAACATTTTAATCACTCACGCGGAGTACACTGTTTGAGTTCTGATCAGTTTCAGTTTCAATCCAAATCAGCCAATCAATCTAATTGGATATGATTGCTTTGGACGTTTTCTAGTGCTGTATGACGACGCCCCGCGTCCGCCGTGGAATGTCCAATGATGCACTGTTCTAATGAATTGGCACGTAGAGAAGACGCTCTGGTTCACGTGTTACCGTAGTACCTACACGATCGTTCTTTGTGGTGGTGACACGTCAATGGAGGGTAATTTCTTCTTCCTCTTTTCTTCGACCCTTAAAACCCACACAGCGTGTATTGACCGCGTTAGCTTGCATCATTCTCGCTCATTTTCTAAGATCTGCACGTCGTTGACTCCGCCTTGGCAGGGGTACGGTAGACTCCGAAAAGTAATGGTTTTCTCTAGACTGAACATTTTTCAATTATACCGGAAAGGGCATGTTAGCGAACTCTTATTCATCATTTTCGATCGAAAACATAATTGAGAAAATATCGCAACATCTCTTAAGATTGGCTACATTATGTTTTTCTCGAAAAGTGCAACATGAAATTGGCTCAAACTCCATTCGCACAATTCTCAAGGCACGTTTCACAAGAGATGACGCAATCCAAAAAAGGTTTACGGGATGATTCTGAATTGGGATGAAAATCAGGGGTCGTAGATATTAAAACAAGATTGGATTTATCCAGATGAACAATTCACTTATTAGAAATAACTGGGTGGCTACAAAATGAGTAATCAAGCAGAAAAACAAAGGTTTCAGAAACTCCACATTTTCTTAAATTCAATGTTTCAGAACTTCGGAATCTTTGAATTGGGCTTTCAAATGTTACACCGTAAATTGCAAGCTATATATTACGATATATCAGAAATATATTTATCATTATATATTTTAAAACTACATTTATTCAAAGTGAATCTTGTTCAATGTTATTTAAAATGTTATTTAGAAATTCGTTTTATAGGTTGAATCTAATCCGAAACAAAGATCAGTTATCAAAAAACGATCGGTGATGTCGAATCCTATTATTCTACAGTGAATTGTGTTGCAGGACATGAAACTTCCACTTCTGAAAAAAGCGATGTCCATCAACTGAAAATTTCGAATTCTGTAAATGTTCTAATATCTGAGCTCTTGGAAATATGTTAACTAATAAAGTTTCTGTCAAAACATCGTCAATATTTCATCATTTAAGAAATATTTGATATCTCTCATGGAAATCTGAATAATTGAACTTAAATTAGGTGCAACTACAGTACTGGCCAATAAGATATTGAAAAAGTTTTTTTATATTAATTTTCGGCATGTTCAGGAATCTGCAGCTCGGTTGTCAATTTTCCGATCACTTTGAAACGTTTGCAGGATATAAAACAGGTTATGCTTGATAACTTCGCATTTACAGAATAGTTTGAAAATTCATAGTTTTCAGCTATTTGCCGATTTCTGAAAGAAATCTATACTGGATGTTTTTGTATTGATAACATGAAAATGTCTCTCAAAAATCCGCAAATAGCTGAAAAACTAGGAAATTTCAAAAAAATTCTGTGAGTGCAAAGTTTTCAATCTAAGACTGTGCCAAAGTTTCTGATCCGACAGTTTCCGATCCGACACTTGACAGTCAAGTTCCAGATTTATGAAAATGGTCAAAATGAACTGAAAAACATGTTTTTGTATGTCTTATTGACTGGTACTGCACAATATACTTCTGATCAACCGATTTCTGCAACTTTTTAAACTCTTACCCGGTAATTGAAACTGGGCAAAGGTCATTTTCCAGTTACGAAGTAGACATTCTGCACATTTTTTCACACCACTCTTATCAGTCACATCATGCACTCTGATGATCGCAAACTATGCCGGAAAAAGCTTGAAAACTTGGCATGAAACGTTTATTGCTGTAGTTTGGACAAATTAATAAGTTAAAAACACATAAATAGAAAGAATTACATAAATTATTAGTAACCTGCTTCACAACCCGATTGATCTGGCAGCATATTGATGGGTTGGATGCATTTGAGACCCGAGAGCAGATTTCATATCGGAGAGACGGAGTTTCTTCCAATCTGGGTTGGTTCCGAAGGCTTGAGCAAGTCGAGCGATTTGGACGAGGGATTCTGGGGAGATACGGAGATGGTCGATAGTGACAGAGCGGCCATCAGAAGAGCATGGTGGCATATCGCGAGCGGAGAGCTGGAAATGAGAAGTTAATGTTATGAAACCATGAAAAATAACTTTTTGAAGAATAAATGCTCTGAAAATCGAAATCTAAACTCACTGGAGTATTATACCCAGCACTTCCAGTACCAGACTGCAAACTTCTGGCTAACATCTGGAAGTCTGGATCGCTGAAAAGTGTCTGAGCAGTTTGCTTGATTTCCAGTGGCATTTGAGAGATTGGAGCTTGTGCTGGAGCCGGAGCAGCAGTCGGTGCAACGGTTGGATATTGGGATAGTTGAGGTTCCTGAATACACCGTATTAATTGAAGTTTTGAAAAATTAAAAATGTTAGAGCTTACACTTTGTTGGGGACCATACATGAAGCCATGATGTGCTGAGAGTTGAGGAGCAGTTTGTGCTGATTTGACCTCCTGTTGAGCAGGATATTGTTTAATGGTCTGAGGGTACTGAAAGTCCTGAACATTAAAAATATTGTATTAATTTTCAAAAACTGTCACCTGCTGTTGAAGAGAAGTGGGGAATGCTTGAATGGATACTAGCAGAAAAGCAGCAGCTGGGAATCCGTATTTGAACATGTCTGCCTATAATAATCAAGCTTGCTACCAAATTTTGTACCTATTACCTTACCTTTAAAGTGCTCCGAGATTGTTCGACCTATTCGTTTCAAAAAATGTGTGTGGTCTTGCCAGGATGCTCGACGGCTTTTATATTCCCACCTTGGCATGATGAGGAAGACTTCCTGTTAACACAAACGGACGCATGTGATGATTGTTTTTTGGGAAAGCAATGGTCTGGGAGATTATCATCTTAAGTCGATTAACAGAAAACAGAACAAGCTGGTGTGCACGGGAGTCACAGTCTGCCGGGGGGAAAAAATGAGGGAAAAAAGGTTTGGGCAATTGTAGAACGGAGAAAAAAGTTTGAAGGGTTGATCTTCCTTTCTACAAGCCTGAATGTAGTTTTGTTCCTCAAACAATGACGGAATCAATGTTCGTCTTTATATAAAAGCTTGCCATTTTGATCTTCTGGAATTCTGTATATTCTTCTACCGTCCTCATGGCTTCCGTACAAACTGACTACCCTGTTCGTTCGATCATCTAATTTTTAAAATTTGATTGGTTTTGACTGTGGAAACTAAATTTCATATTATTCTAGTTAAGTTCGTCCACTGAAATTTAATTTTGTTATTATAAGATTTTCTTTCATTTTCAGATGACATAGCTTGCAATTTTGTTCGTCGACATAGGTGCTCAATATTTTAAACATCAGGACTCAAATTATTACACAATCCAATCCTTCTAACATGATTAATTCATAGCAAAAATCGTAAAATATTTGATAAAGCTACACCTTGATAATAGGCTTTTAGAAGTTTCCGTTGAAAAACGTACAATACCGGCCATGAAAATATACAAAAAGTGCTTCGAACAAACCCAAGTTCTTGGATTCATAATCTACAGTAGTATCCTTTCGTCAGATTAAGGTCATGAAAAATTTAAAATATTAATTGATTTAGGACATACAATACCGGCCAATAATATATACAAAACGTGTTTTTCAGTTGACTTTGACTATTTTCAAAACTCTGGAGCTCGGTTGTCAAATGTCCAATAACTTTGGAAAGTTTCGGAGGGTGTAAAACAGACCTATACTGAAAACTTTGAATTCGTTTTATTTTATCAAAAATTACTCCTTTTTCAGCTGTTTCTGGATTCCTGCAAGGCGCCTATTTTTCTCGTTTTCCGTTCAAGAAAGGGTCAAAATGGGTGACTTCAGAAGTCGGCAAACAGCTGAAAAACTAGGAATTTCCAGAATATTCTGTTTTTGCAAAATTGCCAGTTTATTTTTTTTGCTGATATATCTCATTGACCGGTTCTGTACTTCCTTTTTTAGCTTAAACACTCTTCAGCAGTTTCCTTTTGAAAGCATACTTCCGGGTGTTTCATACTTTTGTTTGTTTTGACTTGATCCATCCTTTTAACCCTATTTCTCCATTCATCATATTAGGCATGTTCTACTTTCCTTATCACCATATCTTGATCGTCTTGAGATCGACTTGGACGTCTTGAGCATCCACTCGGAATATCGTATGTAAGGAAAAACACTTTCTCCTTCAAAAGAATGAAAGTTACTAGACATCGGAGCTATGTGGACCCCTAACGGCAGACATCGAAAAGGTACATGATTTTTTTAACGTTTTCAGTACAACGGGCTAGAAGGGTGGCTTTCTGAAATCGGCAAATAGCTGAAAAACGGGGAATATTCAAAAATTCTGTAATTGCAAAATTTGGAAAGAGATCGGAGACGTGACAGCCAAGCTCCAGACTCCTGCGGATTGTCAAAATGGCCGAAAATCGACTTAAAAAGATGTTTCCGTATATCTTATTGACCGGCACTGTATCTCGAAAATGTTTAAATGTACTTTTCATCCGTTTATTTGTCACTTTGAGTTAGGAGATTGGAGAATAAAAGTTGAGCTACACTATAAACGATGAGGACCAGTAGAAAGGGAAATATGTCATTCAGAAAATGAAGTTGAGAAATCGTTAAATGGAAAGGAAAGAGCAACTCGTGATTTTCATGTGCATCATTTGCACAACATAGATTTGGAATCAAAAGACTACAACTGAACTTTTTTCAATACATGGCGGTAACCGAGCAGTGAACTACCGGATCGAGAACAACAAAAAAACTACCAGAATTGTGAGTGGGAATAAGGCGGATAATAGGATAACAAGACAAGAATGGGACGCACACGAATCATAATTAAATTTTTTGGCGGAGACCTCGATTAAATTATGAAAGAAGAGTATTTTGTGTTTGGATTTTCTGTTTGAAGCGAGTTAAGATAAGTGACGTTTTGAGCAACTAGCACTTCTTCTTTGCAGCTGGCTCTCCAGTTTCGGTGGATTCATTGCTGAAAAAAAAGATGAGAATTACGGTATATTAGAATAATGCAAATCTGGTAGAAAAGGAAATGAAATTCTCGAGAAGTTTAATTTAATTTTTAAATGTTTGATTAGAAAAATAAAAATTAACATATTGCTAGGATTACGGTACTGTCAAATTCGCTTCGGAAAATGGCTTTTTGGAAAAGTTGCACTAATTCTTTAAAAAATAGTCCATAATTTTTATTTTGCGTAGAAAATAGTCATTATTGGGGGTCTGTAAAGTATCAGAGATTTTATTAAATATGTTTGAACGTTTTCAAGTTTACTGAACACAAATAAAACCTTTATTTTTCAGCCGAAAATTTTTGTATAAAAGGAAACAAAAAGTTATGTGACGCTTGGAAGAGTTGCTCATGTTTTTGCGAATGAAATCAGTTTAAATTCAAAAATTCTGTATTATTCTGACACTTCTGGTATTTTTCTATTGCTTTTACGTGGATTGGTTGCTCTCGTCTAATTCGTAGAATTAATGTGATTTCGAGCAATTCTGTTTCGGAATTCTTAATTTTTTCGTATTTTAGATCTCGACAAAAGTCATTCAAAATGAAGCATATGTCAACATGAAGGACACACTAAGAAAATGAGCTAATCTGCTAACACATCTTTCACTATTTTTTAAAGCCATTTTGACATTTTCCCTAATTTTTCTTCAATTCAACATTTTCAAAACGGAACAAAACTCACTTTTCTTTTTTCTCATCATCTTTATGCGAATTCTGATTTTTATCCCTCTTCTTGATGGTTGGTGTTGTTAGTTGTGTCGAGAGCCTGGAATTAAACTAACATTTCCGGGAAAAAATGTCGAGATTTGTGTTTGCAATTGATGACGACGGCACGTATTGGTTACATTTTCTAGCTAGAAATGTATTTTATTTTAAAAAGCACCTGTTCATGCGATTTCAGAGAACTCTGAATCCTACCGTAATCCGAAGGTAAATAACAAGAAAACACCTCTTTTGGATTCTATTCAAATTTCTATACTGCCGATTGAACAGAGAAAACTATGAAGAAGAGGAGGACCAGAGTGCCTAATAATTTCCCGGTTTTAGGTTTCACTTTTCTATTCTTTCGGTATACTCCGGAAACGGCCAAATGATGTATACATTTCATGTGAGAGCGCTATACTTACATTGGTCCGGTATAGGTTACTGGCACTTTCAGATCAGACGGCGTATCAAGATTTGAAACAAACGGATCGATATCCATGTCGATGACTGCCTTCTCGCCAAACATGATGCTACGACGTTGGGAGCTATTCATGTTTGAAGATGTTGTGTGCAGGCTTTCTGAAAACACATGAAGAGGATGGGAATGAATATGTACGTAGATGGGCCAAAGGACCACGGAAGGGGTCGAGTTTAGAAAAAGAAGCAGCACAAAAAAGAAGTTGTTTCTTGAAAAGAAGGACGCGGATGAATATAAGCGGAATGTAAACGAAGAAAAAAACCGAGAGCAAAACGAGGGGGAGTAGAAGAAAGGAAGGAAAGTAAGAAAGAAAAAAGAAAAGAAAAAGGCACTGAAATATTCATGTGGTTGAAGTGAAAATGAACGGGCACACAGAAATGGATTCTGTCAAGTTGGCAGATAGACACACACGCCCTCTCCCAAAACAAAAGGGATCCAGATGGCGGGAATTCGAGCAGCAGTCAAAAGAAGGCAATTTGGTTTTCAAACTGACGACGACAACGGCAATATTCTAAATTATATTGCTTTCCTGTCGTTTCCTTCCGAGCTATGACAAAAACGAAAACAGAAAAATAATAAAGAGAGACTAAACTGGATATTAATTCGGGAGAATTTTTTGCTTCCCAAATTTTTCTTTAAAAATTTTTTACGGGAATTTCAGGTAAACTGGGATAAATCGAGAAATTTTTCAATAAACTTTTAGGGGTTTTTACATTTTTCTCAATTTCTCGAAATTTCGAAATTTTGCTTGCTTGAATTTAGGTCATTTTCTCAAATAAAAAATCTAGAAAAACAATGGACAGAAATTGAGAAAAAAAGCAAAAGCGAATATGAAATATTAGGATATGTAGTTTTTGAACTTACATTTAACGAAGTTTCGTTTCCAAAACAATATGACAGAAAAATTTCCGAGAATTTTTTTAGAAAAATTCCCGCCAGGAAAAAATTGCGGACAAAAAATAAGGAAAAATTCCAGCAAAAAACGGAAAAATAGGAGAAACGGAACTCCCGATTTCTAGGTTCAAACAATTCTGCTAAATTCAAAGATCAAAATAAAAGCGAAGCTTAATGTTTTAGCTACATATTTTCGAAAAACTTGAAAAACAACTCGCTCCTTGATAATCGGGGGAGCCGACACAGAGGTACGCAGCACGAAAACAGACAAACTCTTGTTTTCCACAATTTGGCCTCTGAAAAATTATAGGCAATCATTGAATGACATAAAGACCAGCGGAGATTAGAATGAAAAATGTCAGGAGCGACTACTTACATTTTATTCTATTTTTTCGAAAAAAAAGACTTCGGATGAGCAACACACTTGTTATTTCATTCCTCAGAAGATGAGCTCCTTCTTGCAGTGTCTTTTTTTCAGAGAGAGCTCATCTCAGGACATGTGGAATTTTTTGTGACTAACCGGAGCACACGAGGGAGGAAGGAAGAACTGAAGTGTTTAGAGTCGATTGGTTGGGTTGGTTGGGTTGGAGCAAAACAAAAAGAAAATTAAAAAAGCTTTTACGTCTTCCTCACCCGGTGTTTGTATGTGTCTATCTGTATGTGTGTAAATGTTTATTTTTCTTTAATCGCATTATTCATTTTCTTTTCATTTTGTTTTATATTGGTGTTTTTTCGGACAGGAACCGATAATAATGTTGTTATATAAAAGGGAGATGAGAGAAACAACACAACGGAAAACTTGTACCGCAGGAAATAGATGAATGACGATATGAAGAATCACCAGGAAGAAATAAAATGAAGCAAAAAAAAGTGAAAACCCCAAATGAACGAGAAAGAGAAAGAGACAAGCAGAGGAATCAATGAATCAATAAGTGCTAATTATTGTCCTCTTTCTCCTCACATGTCATCTTTTTCGTCGCGTTTCGCAACAATATTTTTGACCTTGCAACACCACCAAACACGAAGTGTTTTCTTTTAGAAACCAAGCTCACACCGATTCGGTCAACAAAGCGAGTGGCGTAAAGGCTATACAAAAATAGACACTCCCAAAAGTACACAAAAATGTTTGGTGTTGTTCAGTTGGCTTTCCGTTTCCCTACCAGAAAAATTATACTAGAGTACTGTACACGAATTTCTGAATTTCTGAATTTTTGAATTTCTGAATTTCTGAATTTCTGAATTTCTGAATTTTTGAATTTTTGAATTTTTGAATTTCTGAGTTTCTGAATTTCTGAATTTTTGAATTTCTGAATTTCTGAATTTCTGAATTTCTGAATTTCTGAATTTTTGAATTTTTGAATTTTTGAATTTCTGAATTTCTGAATTTCTGAATTTCTGAATTTCTGAATTTTTGAATTTTTGAATTTCTGAATTTTTGAATTTCTCCTTCTCCAAAGGTTCATGCACAAGATGGGTGATTTTTTGACGACACCATGACAACTTGTAGAACTAAAGATGCGAAACTAAGGATGCATATAGTGGTGACGGGAAAACGAGCGCCTCCTGAAGCAAAGTGAAGGCGAATGTATAACCCGACAAATAACGGAAAAGAGTAGAGCGGATAGGCAAGATGACAGAAAATGAATAGGCGAGAATAAGTGGGAGGGGATTGAATGAAATCGAAACCGAATGGGTTTGTGATTTTTTAGAAAGAGAAAATGGAGAAAAACTGGAGAAGAAGTGACGAAGGACATTGTGATTTTATTAAATCGGTTGAGTTTTTTGGAAGTGGGGAGTAGAGATAATAGGAAAAGAAGAGATGGTCTGAGCAAACAGACTTGGTGAGTTGAACACTGAGTTCATCAGCACTACCAGTCACCCAACAGCATGAGCATCACCTCTCTGTCAACCACCTCGTTAACATTTAGAGCATTCACGGATCATTTGAGGCTTCCAAGGTTGTTTAATCGGGGCCACCTGCCCCCACACGATATATAAAGTCTGAAGAGAAAGTAAGAAATTTTACGACTACCTAACAACCCTGAGGTTATTGAGGTTTTACAGCATTTCGAATAATTACAATCGTACTAGTCGTCAGGGATATTTGAAGTAATTCATCCGTCTTTACCTTCTGCCAGTAAGAAATCTTTTTCACGAAGTTGGACATAAGAAACGGAGCAAGGAACGATGTGTAATGTGTCGAGGTGCAATTAGGGATGTTCGAAACGGAGTTCTTAATTCCAAAAATTAAAAAATTTCGAAAAAAAAATAGGAAAGAAATTCCGGTCAGAACATTTCCGAGGTTCGTTTTTGAATTAGAGATTATTAGGACACGGTATGTCAAAGGCTCTTGCAAAAAATTCGATTGCAGGTCTCGAACGGAATTCTTTAAAAAAATTTTTCATTTTCGAAATCTTTTTGTCAGTTTATCACCAGTTTTCGATTTTTGTTGAATTCCCGGTCATGGGAAAATGGAACCATCACTTTAGAATTTGAATGTTATAGAAATGCGAAAATTCCGAAATTCCGAAATCCTAAAAATCGGAATATTCCAGATTTTCGGAAATCCAAAAATTTATATTTCGAAATAGAGAAATTCAGAAATTTTAAAGATTGGAATAGTCTGAAAATACTGAAAATTTGAAAACTCGGAATATTCCGAGATTCAGATATTCCCAATATCAAAAATAGGAATATTCGGAAGTTTCGAAATTCCATAACTTTTTTAAATTGGAATAACCCTAATTCAGAAATTCGGGAAACTTAAAAGTCGTAATGTTCCAAGAAATTGGAAGTTCCGGAATTTCGAATGGAATATTCCGAGATTCAAAAGTTGAAAAAAAGTTTCAAACTTCGGAATACACCAAAAACGCTAAAGTTCCGAATTTTTAAAAATCGGAATATTTCGAAAATTCGGAAATCCCAAAATGAGAAAATAGGAATATTCCGAAACTCGCGAATTCGGAAAAATGTAGAAATCGGAATATTTCGAAGTTAAGAAATTCGGAAGAATTTAAAAATCGGGATATTCCGAAATTCCAAAATTCGGTAAAAAAACTGAAAATTCCGAAATTTTTAAAATCGGAATAATCTTTAATTCAGAAATTCGAGAAACTCAAATATCGTAATGTTCCGAGAAATTGGAAGTTCCGAAATTTCGAAATGTTGAAAATTGGGATTTTCGACATATCAAAAAATTTGGAAAAGGTAATTCCGAACATGTCTGGCTCCAAATGGAGCAAGGTGATGTCAAATGGAATATCTTCGGGGACAATATGACAATCAAAGAAGGTGTAGGTGGCGGCAATTCATAAAATGATGAGAAAAGGACACACAAAACTAGCAGCTGAAGCAGAAAAAAAGCGAAAACCGAGTGGGCAAAAAAAGTGAAGAGAAGGAGGTGGACATGTGGCTGTTTGTATTTGTATTCTAATCGAAATGCTTGCTGGTTTTCGATCAAAAAGTTGAGAAGAGTAGAAAATGAAGAAAAAGAGGAAGACAGAGGAACGGCATAAAGAATAAAACTAGGAATGAATAGGTTGAGATTGATATTAAGATACCAACACTACATATTCCAAAATCGTTTCTGCCTTTCACCCTTTTTTTCAAATTGTTGCCTCTTCATTGTCAGTCGAACAAGTGTTATCTATCATTTTCCTTATCAGCTGGCTGGCTGGTCAGAGAGTAATGTCACAACAGTTCTATGGAATCAATAGGGAAAGTGAGAAGAGGGAGGGGATTTCGGAAAAAGATTTCGGTCACTGTCTCTGAGGTGCAGGGTCTGTGCGTGTCGCATTAATACGTACGCAAAATGATGAGAGTGTCTTTGAGTGTGGCGAGAAACGAAAGTTTTGTGTCGATGATTTGACGACAACGGGTGGCGGTGGTGGTTGAGGCTTAAAAAACGGAACGAGGGCGACACCCCCCAGCGAAGGTTTGCGCTCGACCGCCCCGCCGCTCACACTCACTCGCACATGTTATTATCTTTTTTTGCCTCTTGGAAGGTGGCACTTTGGAAATATATAGATTCACATTTGTGTGTGGCTGACGAGGCCATAGAGTAAACACATAATTTTGGAGGGAGAATTAACTAGAATGGACATGCGGATAGTTTTTCAGAGTGGATATACTCCTCGGCGTCAAAATTTTTGAAGTTTTTATTTTCTGAAACTCAATTTTTCCAGTTTTCGAGAAAACATTCAAATTACAGTACCGGTCAATAAGATATACAATAACGTCTTTTTCAGTTGAATTTGATCTTTAAGATTTTGGAGCGCCGCTGTCCAGTTTCGGATCACTTAAGAAAATTTTAGGAGGTGTAAAACAGATTCAGATTGCAAACTTTGCAGTCACAGAATTTTTTGTACTTCCTAGTTTTCCAGCTACTTGCCGATTTCTGAAGGACGTCTGCTTTTAGGACAAAAACTGATCAAAAGAAGTGTCTTTCAAAAACCGGCGAATAACTAAAAAGCTAGGAAATTTCAAAAAATTTTGTGAACACAAAAAATTTCAATCTAGATCTCCAAAATTTTCAAAATGATCGGAAACATGACAGCTGAACTCCAGACTCCTGAAAATGATCAAAATCAACTGAAATATAAGTAGTTGTACATTTTATTACCCGCTACTGTAGGTGCATAAAATTAAGAACTAGATACTTTCAAATCATGCACTAATACAAATATATAGAGATAAGATAAGAAATGAATCACGAAAAAAAAGAAAATAATGTCTTCAAAATATTTCCAACTACACGTAGGAACAAGGATATCAATCTCTTTTTTTCTAACGGAAATCGAAAATTCGATTTCCTTCGGTCATCTTATGGACTTAGGCTAACATTAAAGGAGAACAAGAAGGATATATTCTATATGAATATCGAATTCTGAATCTGACTTTGTTGATGTCATTCAATACCCTATTGAAAACATCCATCCATTTATATATATACGCTTGGATTTGATACTAATGCTAACTGACGGCGTTTTGTAGCTCCAGTGACTTCAAAATGAAATGTGTGTCGTCTATTTTAGACAGTATCAATGAACGAAAAGTGTCTTTTGACCTACATACCTGACGCTTTCTCTAAAACTGAAGTTACACAAATTTCACCGACACTTTTTCTGTCAGATAAGCGGTTTCTCCTAACAATCACATTCTCTCAATACTGAAAATTTCAAATATTTCTCCTTGAAAAAAAATACACAAAATTAAGAACCCAATTTATTGCAAACAGTACTCAATAGTGAACCTCAGTGAAAAATGTTTCAAGAACCGGAAAGGACAAAATATTAGAAAATGAGTTACACATGAAAAATAATATTAAAAATCTTACTATGGGCCAAAGGAGGGGAATGTCAATTCTCACAGTGTGCTAACCAATACCGGTAGAAATTGAACAGGTAAGGCGATCCTTGTTTTGTTTTTTCTCGGATGAAAGTGTACAAAAGTGTACAATAGAGATTGTAGACCTGGGGAAGACAGGAAGAAATTGATTAAAGAGAACAAAATGAATGCTAAAAATTGGAGATTTGAAAGAGGATCTAAAAAGGGGCTAGGCGACACTTATTCAAAGGAGAAGCGACACATTTGATCTCACAATTACAACTTCAAATAAGGGGACGTCTTGAATTTACGAGGGAGAGACAAAATGATAAAAGATTATGACGGGGAAAATGGGATATAATATGTGATCATCTTCGTTGCTAGAATAATTCATGAGATGTTATGGCATGATTAGACATCTAGAAGAGTTTCGGTTTCGGTTCCGGTGCCTTCTCCATTAGCGCGGGTTGTTGTTCCGTTTGGCACTTCTCTGAAAATGTATAGGTCAAATTGTTTTGAAAGAATAGGTTATCTGTGATCGCCAATTTCCAATATTTCCAGTTTTTTTTCTGAAAATGCTGTACTCGCTCTAATAAGAGCTCATCATTGGCTCCATTAGCTCGGTTCTATCAAAAAACATCAGCAATTTGTCAACTGATAAATTGTTTATCATAGTATCACTAATATTCCATCAGTTGACAAGTTGTTGATATCTCTAATAAAAACCGAGATAATTGAGCTCAAGATGAACGTATAAAGTGGACTTTTATAAAAAATACGGTACCACACAACTGTTCTCTAAATGCGCAAAACCGGTAAAATCTTATTATATTTTTTTGCGAAATTCTATTTTCGTTTCTAAAAACTTGTTTACAGAAGTTCCCCAGCGTTTTATAAAAACATTTGGGAGTTTTTTTGAACATCGAATGGTTATTTTCTTGGTTTTGAATATTCAAAGATTCCGGAAATTCAAAAAAGTTAATTGACGCTAAACTTACTAATCATCCTGAAAATTTGTCTAAACTTATGTTTAATCTCATTTTCACCCAGTAAATATCATCACTCACTCAGCCGAAGAACTTGTCCGCTCTGCTGCAATTCTGGCAATCTCGTCATCTTCTTTCTGCATTTCGCGGGCCGAGAGGTAAAGGAAGAATCCGGAAAGAAGACTGAAAATTCCACCAGTAAAAAACACAACGGAATAGCTGCCGGTCATTTCTCTCAGTTGGGCTGAAAATTATTTTTTCAAAAACTTCATTACAATTATTTGTAAAACAAACCAAAAATTGGTGGTCCGATGAAAGAAGCGACGCCTTCAAGCATGCTAATCATTGAATAGGCACTTTGGAAAATCGAAAGCCCATTGAAACAGTTAGCGATGATCAACGACTGGAGCACATAGTTGGATGTGATGAAGACACCAAATAGACCTCCACTGACAATGATTTCAGTAGCAGTGGTGACGAAGGTGGCAGCAAAAAGAGTAATGGAAACGACAACCATCGAGAAGACGTAGATCCAATGAATTTTGTCTTTCGTGAGTGGGTGGTCGGCAAATTTTCCAAAAACTATGGTTGAGAGACAGTTACAAAATCCTATGGCAGAGTAGATCGACTTTGATGTTGTTTCAGAGAGCCCCAAATGTTCAATACCGTAGTCGTAGACGCAGACATAGGGAACGTCCAAGATGAAGTAGAGGCAGAACACCGATAAAGCAATGCTGAAATGAAAATCTTATTTTTTCACTCAACCGCAGTAAACTCACTATCTGAATGGATAAGATCTCAGGATGATCTTATAGCAGACCTTCTCTTCGGCAATTCTTCTACTGATTGACTTTTGGGTTCTTGATAGAATCTTTCGCTTCTTCCGCGCCACTAGCATTGGAGCCGATGGAATTTTTCCCATGGTCAGAAGATTAGAGGTGAAGCGAGATTGAATGGCATTGCTGGCGAGAACACGCCCTCCGGAGACGTTGCTACTTCCTGGGGCAAGTGAACTTCTGACAAGTCGAGCAGATGTTGGAGCAGAGGATGCTGCACGGGTGACGACTGACGTAAGATTGCGATTGATAAGCTGGGCAACTGGTTCATCGATTTGCTTTTCCGAGAGCTCCGAGCTTGAAGAATCTCCGTCGTTGCTCATTTCAGAGTCATCAGAGCTGGATTCGGTTTCTGCTGAACCGGAAGAACTGTCGAAGAAGTTAACTTTGAAGTCTTCATCATCCATCTCGTTGATTTGGTCAACACTCATTGAGACTTTGCTGATGACACGACGACGTTGAGCTCTCACAGTGGTACATGGTGAGTTGGCAAGTTCCAAATCAAGGTGCTCGAGATTAGCCAAATTACTATTGAGCATGGAGTATTCCTGGATGACCGGGAGCTGGTTTTTGTTTTCAAACAGAGCCATCGATTTTGAACGAGTTGGCATTTCCGCAGTTCCTTCAACTCTTCCAGCTTCACATACGGATTGAATTGATCCAACGTCAACACGAATGGCATTGAGGTTTGGCAATGAGTTGGCACGACGTAGCAGTGTATCCTTGACAATTTTCGCACTACTCTCTTGGTCTTCTAGGAGTGTTCTGACGTTTTGATCGAATTTCTTGAGTTTGAAGTCACAGGTATCTGATTCCCATTCAACATCTCTGATGAGAAGTCCAAGTACGACAACAATTGAGTAGGCAACGGCAAAGCAGGTGAGAGCAGATTGAAGATCGGTGAAGACAAGTGTGAGTGAATAGACGGACTGAAAAAAGATAGAGGTTTTATTAGATATTCAGATTTAAAAAAAAAATTTTAAAAAAACCACTCACCAAGGTCAACAATCCCGGAAAAACAAAAGTTCCACCTCCTGTTCCAGCCACAGCTAACGATGTCGCGGTTCCTCGTTTCGCAGAGAAGTAGTAAGTGACTATAACAATCGCGGCATTATAAATAAATGCCATTCCTGAAAGAAATTATTTTTCAAAATTGATTAACTGTATTAAAATATGCTCACCGAGACCACATCCAAAACCGAAAATCGGAGTGAATAACCACATATTCGGGCAAAACATCGACAGAACACACGACACGGTGCAGATAGATCCTCCAATAATGATTGCCATTCTACATCCAAGACGGTCACTAGTAAATCCGGCGATTGGAGCCAACAAAAGCGGAAGGGAGAGAAAGAGGGATGCGGTGAACATTGAAGCGACACGTCCAGCATTATAATTCTGAAAATATTTTTTGGATAATTCAGAGGGCTAAACTCACTCGTTGAATCATGACAAGAACGATTCCAAAACAGAACGATGCTCCGTCGCACACGACGTGCATGAGAAAGCTCGCAAAGACCACGAACCATCCGAATCCACCATCAGTTGGGATTGGATTTTCCTTCAGTTCATCTTCAGAATCCTCATCTGGGGCGGCACGAGTTGGTGTTGCTGGAGTCACAAACTGGACTCGGTGTTGTTCATCTCTTGGAGAACGTGGCTGCTGTTGCTGAAAAGTGTTCTAATTAATAAAGCAGGGCCTTTAAAAACCTTCAACTTTGATATTATATATCGCGGCTCCTGTGAAAAAATGGCCCACTTACAGAATGCTTTTTATGTTACCAACATTATTTTGCCAATTGACCATTGTCTGATACCTCTTATAAAAAATGAGATACAGTTCCGGCCAATAAAATATTCTTTTAGTTTTTATTCATCTTCCAGATGATTTTGGCACATTTTGACCATTTTTAGAAATCTAAAGCTCGGCTCTCAAGTTTCCGGTCACACAGAACCCTTTGGAATCTGTAACAGAAACCTAGATTGAAAACTTTGCATTTACAGAAAATGTTGAGAGTTCCTAGTTTTTGAGCTATCTTCCGATTTCTGAATTGCAATTTTTTCACATTTTCAGTACAAAAACGGACAAAAACGGGTGTTCTTCAAAATTAGGCAAATAGGTGAAAAGCTAGGGAATTTCGAAAAATTTTGTGGATGCAAAAATTTGAATCTGGGTATATCATATGCCCTCAAAATTTTTCAAAATGATTGGAAACTTGACAGCAGAACTCCGAACTTCTGAAAATGGTCAAAATGGCAGAAAATTGACTGACATTGAAAAATACGTTATTGTAAATAATATTGACCGATCCTGTAATTTCAATGTTCTCTCAAAAAAAATGAAAAAAATTAGCTTCAGAAAGCATAATTTTTAAAATTACGACCCTGGCCCATACACCCATATTCATACCTGATTGTGTTCAACCCAGCAGGACACGTCCTCGGCCTTCATCCTGGTCCGCATACTTGGTCGGCGTCTCGCGGCCATTCTTGACTCTGGTGGCTTTACGAGTCGCTGAAAATGTTCGAATTGTTTTTGAACTCCATTGACTACCCAAACTTAAACTAGGAACACAATTCTCAATTACTGTACCCTTTACTCAATTCCTACTAGACACCTATTCAAACACTGAACCCTTTTTTTTGAAAACTAACATATAAGGTTTGCCATCCAGTATGGATCAACCATATGAACGGGTGGTAGCGTCTGGTGAGAGAAAACTTGTAACTTCTGAAATGGCGATGGTTTTGTTCGTGAGAAAAATAGAAAGAAGAAGAAAAAGATAGAGTTACAGTAGTCAACTTAAAAAGAGGTATAGAGATTTGTGATAGGAGTTCAGGAGAATGTCATAGCTAGAATTATGAACATTTGAGAACTACAGTAACGGTCAATAAGACAAACGAAAACGTATTTTTCTGTTTATTTTTGGCAATTTTGACCATTTTCAGTAGTCTGGAGCATGGCTGTCAAGTTTCCTATCATTATGAAAATTTTGTAGACTGTTAAACAGATTTAGACTAAAAAGTTTGCGCTCTCAGGAATTGTTGAACGTTTCTAGTAACATAATTTTTCCAAAACTTCTATTTTTTCAGCTATTTGCAGGTTTCTGAACAACACCTGCTTTTTCTCGTTTTTAACGCAAAAACAAGAGGAACGGGCGTTTTCCAGAAATCAGAACAAAGCTGGAAAATTAGGAAACTTGGAAAAATTCTGTAATGCGAAGTTTTCAATCTAGGTCTGCTTTACAACTTCCAAAACTTTTAAAGTGTTGGGACGCGAGCTCCAGACCCTTGAATATATCCGAAAATAGCTGGAAAATATGGGTTTGTTTTCCTTTAGACTGGTACTGTACATGAATATTTGTGCGATTCTAGAGATACCGTAGCTAGAAACTCTTCAGAAAACAGCATGTGTAGAACCAAAATGGACATAAGGCTGCCAGTTTTGTTGCATGATGCACTACCATAATCCGTTGAAATACGAAAATCCCCGGATCCTACATATTACTCATCCGCTCTCTCTTGGTACCCTCCCCTCTATTGGAGATGAGATAATAAATACCTGATATTTCGGCCACTGCATGTCTCCTTTGGGTGCAGTTTACATGAGTAAAAGTCAAGGAGTGAATTTTTCAAAAGTCACGGAAAACAACAAGTTTGGCACCCACTTTGCTCCCCCTACTCCCATCTTTTTTCTCCTAGCAGCCGAAAAGCCATGTGTCTTCTTCTTCTCCTCCTTCATTTTTTCTTCTTCTTCTTATTCTTCTAGGGCCGTCCCATTCGGGTTTCGTTCTTTCCTCTCTAATTCTATGGTTGCTTCGGAGGAAAAAACGAAAGAAAGAAGTAAAGAAAAATGAAACCACGTCACAGTGGCACAAACATATGATAGAACAAGTGTAAGGAGGTATAAGTTCAAAGGGAAGAGTTTCTTCGAGCCAAAAAGTAAACACGATCTCGGGAACTCGAACTCGAAACGATTTCGAAAAACGTAGGCTCTGTGTTCATAGAAACAAAACCAACAAAGTGCGTTAGTTAGCATTCTTTGTACAAAAAATGGTTGCTCGAATGCAGCAAGAAACGTCCCAACTTGACTACCAATCTATTTGAAGAAAAAGGAAAAAATGGGTGCGGGGAAAGAGGTCCGGAAGGAAATGAAATAGAAAAAAGTAGTGTGGGACAAGAAGTGTACACCTTTAAACGGATGCAATTGAGACATAAACACAAATTTCCGTTTTTCGCCTCCTCCTCCTCATTCTTGTTTCTCGGAATTTGAGCTTTTTCAGAGAGAAAAGTAATTGGAATCGAGGGAGAAAAAAAGAAGCCGTATGTATTCGTATTCATCCCCGCCTACTTTTCCAGAGAGATTAGTATTAGTCTGCATTGTGCTCTGAATCAAGAAAAATTGATCACTTTCCAGATGTTCTTCTCGAAGGAAGAACTGGTTTGTTCCCATTTAATAATTTTTTGCTTTCACTTCTCTGCCAAAAGATCTTGACCAGAGATAGCGGTTCATGGTTTTGTTATCTTCTGGGCATCAAAAGAAAAAAGAATTCGAGTGCAACTTCCTAAGAAACCGAATGCTTTCCATGTGACCGAATAGAATAAAGAGAGAAAGAGAGGTAAGGAAATGACGTGGCTATTACAAAAACTAAAACTTTGTTCTTGAAGATGGATGAGAGAAAGAGAACTGAAAAAATGAAAGAAATAAAAAGTAAGAACTTTGTTCGATTCAAAAAGAATGAGGGTTTTCCCAAAAAAAAACGATGGTGATTGGATTTTTCGCTTTCGAAAAATACAGTACCAGTACATAAGAAATATAAACGTTGATTTTTCAGTGGATTTTCAACGATTTCGACCATTTTCCGAAGCCTGGGGTTCGGCTGTCAACTTTCCAACTACTTTGAAAACTTTTGAAAGAGTAAAATGAATTGAAAAATTCGCATGCACAGACTTTTTAGAGAAATGCTACTTTTTCAGCTATCTTCCAATTTCTGAGAGACACCTGTTTTCCACATTTTAAGTACAAACATTGGCCGAAACCGACTGGCTTCCGTTTACTGTATTTCAAATTTGAGATTCTGAATTTCTGAATTCTCATTTCCACAAATGTCTAAACAAAAGTCATGTTCAGAATTTGCTGAGTTCTAAATATTCAAATTTGCGAACATCAAAATTTTAAGATATTCGAATTTCGCCATTTCCAGAGATTCTCAAATTTTTCGAATTTTCTAATTTCGAAATTTGTCAATATTCAAAATTTTTGTATTTTGGGAGTTTCAAACTTTGTTGTTCAGGGGTTCGAAAATTTTGGAAATTTAGAAATATTAAAAACTCAAATTGAGAACTTTGCATTCACAGAATTTTTTTTAAATTCCTAGTTTTTCAGCTATTTGCCGATATCTGAAAGACACTTGTTTTCCACTTTGTAAATACAAAAACAGGTCAAAAACAGGTGTCTTGCAGAAATTGGCAAATATAAAAAACCAAGAATTTTTCGAAAATGTCTGTGAAGGCAACATTTTTAATCTTGCTCTGTTTTACATTATCCAATCTTTCGAAGTGATCTAAAACTTGATAGCTCCGGACTTCTGAAAATGGGCAAATTGGCAAAAAATCAACTGATAAAAGCCGTTTTTGTATGTTTTTCTTATTGGCCTGTAGTAAAAAGTTCTACAAAATTTGAAAAAATTTAGAGGTAAATTTTCAGAAAATTATGAGATAGAAATTTTTTGAAAATTCAGAGTTTTACAATTTTGAAAACTCCAGGAAAAAATTGAAAAAGATTAGTGTTTCGATTGAATGGAGCTACGAAGTTACTTGTCGAAAACTCAAGAAACAGAAAGGTTTACTCTAGAAAATACACAAATTGCTAAATTCAATTTTCCTGGCGAGTTTGTGTAATCTAGTGACGTGATGAACCCGCCGCCCGTGTGAACCAGGTACATTCGTCGCAACACACGGACCTATCTTCTTTTATTTTTGGGATCCATGAGTATTTTGAAAAACAGAGAAAAAAAGATAGACACACGTGGTTCTCTTTTAATTTCGATTTTCGAAATTATCAAGGAGTATCAGGGGTAGTACGGTACATCAGAATGTTTAATTTTTAATATCCAAAGCAGATAAACAAAACAAAATCTCAATTGGTAAATGGTTTATGTAACGTGAAACTTTGAAAAAAATTTCGAAAAACAAAGAAAAGCAAAAGTTGCCGCGCTCCCGCAGAAAATGCACGTAAAGCGCAAGAATGAGAGAAGGAACAAAAAGAAGACGAGACGCAGAGAGTCAGATGAGTTTTGCAATATTTCGTAGTCGACATTAATGCCTCTCTGTGGGACATACGTACACATTGGGACACTCCAACGGGTAAAGAGAGAAAGACACATCTGACTAATAAAAATCGGTCGGTAACGGAGGAGAAGAAGCGAGATGGACACAACTTTTGAACATTTTTTGTTGTCTTCTATTCTTTGCGAAAAGTTTAGGAAGAATGGGAAGAATAGGGTTCAGAAAAAGAGAACAAAAACGGCAAAGTAAAAGCGTCTGCGAAACTTTTTCTTTAAAAGTTCTTTAAATTCTGCGAAATGGCTTTAACAAAATGAAAAAATGAGATTTGAAAGAGCGCAAAGTTTACACACAAATCGGTCTATTGTAAAAAGACTAGAGCAAAAGAGGTCTAACTCGTTGATGATGTTTCTCTCGACTGTCTGTGCATCTCTAGAAAGAATGGATCTCTCGTAACAAGCTTTAGTGCAAATAAGCGCAAGAGAACACGCAGCTATACGAGATCCCATTCCATGAGTCTACGAGACCGAACGCTCAATGTGCGTACTCAACAATTCATATCGTTTTTTTTATTCATTTTGTCAGTTCCTGAATTTTTCTTCAATGTATGTTCAGTGTTTGTTTATATTGGTTTCTATCAATACATTATTTGCACAAAACTTTTCAAGAGAAAAAGAAAGTTTTAAGAGAAAAGAACAGTTATTCTAAGTTTTAGAATCTCAGAAGAAGCAAAAAAAATAATCTAAAAAAGGAAAAAAAATCTGAAAATCCCTGGGACCACTAGACTTGAAAAGTGGGGGCAAAGAGACATTTGCATATGTCATTTGCTCAGTTGAAGAAAAGAGCCGTGGAAAACCTTTTTCGCGTGTGTCATTTCGTATTGGAAAAGCTGGGTGGTGGCAAAAGAAAATAACGGAAATAGTACAGGAAAACAGAGAGACGCAGAGCCAAAAATGATGAGCCCGCCGTCGCATAAATTGTCCGTTCGCTTTGGAGCTAGTGAGGGGGGAGGAATGGAGGATAGATGATATTTGCTTCTGATGAATAGAGGTCATCTGACTAACGCGGAAAGTTTTTTTTTGTTCCGTTATAGAAGATAGAAGAACTTTAAAAGAAACGTGACTGGTTTTTGTATCTTCCGTATTTAGAAGTAAACACCAAAATAAGGATAAACAAGTGCATGTATCGGAGATGAGACAAATT